AAAAAAAAAAAAAAATTTGCGATATTTTTATTTATATGTATATTTATTCATATAAATATATATTGTGTCAGAGCTTTATTTATGGATTGTAATTTAAAATATTTGATGACAAAGAGAGAGAAGAAATTTTTTTACCTATAGTACCGTTATATTCAATCTTTCTTGAATTTTTTATCTTTATTACTGCTATTAATACACGCATATTCTATTCTAGGTAGTATATCTATATTTTGTGAAACACTTTTATTATAATAGAAAGTTTTAATGGAAATTCATATATTTTGCGAAAGGAATAATCAAATATTATATTACAATTAAATTTATATTTCATATTTTCATTATTTAGTAAAACATATCATTATTTTCTTAAAAGCAACAAAATTAATTATAGATAAAGATTTCTTAATGAATCGGTAATCTACACAGCAGAATCTACACGATAAGATGTTTTCAATGTCTTACTTTGTCAAATATGTACAAGATCCATGTTCCTCGAGGGTCTTCGCCCCACGTCGCGACGGACATGAACTTCCACTTTCTAAAACCATCTTTGGACTTATCCCGCTTTCTTGAACTTAGAATCTGGACTAAAGTACCTAAAATATCAAACACATTGCTTGCATCAATATATCATGCATGAATGCAATTTTGTATGATGTATATACATATTGATCTATATCTATGAGTATATATTATTTCTTATTACATTAAAAGACAAAAGATTGCACATGTGATGCATCGTGATGCATTCTGTTAATGAGAAAGTATTAAATTAAATTTGGTTTATATAAAGAATGCATGTATACATATCATATATTTTATTTTAAATAACTAAACATTATCGGTTCCGCATAACATGCGAATATTAATTACAGCTGTGTATGAGTATTATCGATTTTTTCTCGCAAGCATGCGTAGCAAGCATGCAACTTTGAATAATATTGTACTTACGACCTAGTTAGTATTAGATTTAGTATTAGATTTTGTAAAATGGAATCTTATATTTATCTTTTAAAATAAATTTTATATACTATAATATAATATATAAATTGTTTTATTATAATAAGTTTTAATTACGAGATTGATAGATATTTAATGAATAAAATTATATATAATAATTGTAATATATAACATAAGATATAAATAATTCTACTCAATATATTTATCTTGTAAAAAATTAAAATAGGCTTGAAATAAAATTTTGAATTTAATGAATTCACTGACTAGAAATAGCAAGAAAAATAAGATTCTAGATATTTTATTACAGGATAATTATTCTATTATAATTTAGAGAAATTACAGTAAAGTATGTAAATAAGATAAATTCCACAACTCTCAATATTATTGTATTTTGGATCCATCTGGATATTTTTATTTATCTTTTTTTTTTACGTTTCAATACATTTTGGATTTTTTTTTATATTCTGATACAAGTAATATTGTCTGTCAATAATAACGTCAATCAACAAACGTGCACAAAATTAAATAACGCGATGCGTTGACTAAAGTGACAATTGCAATCTACTCATTTATGTTTACGTCTGAGCATTTATTTGATATGATGTTAAAGTGTTTTTCTTTTTTCTCCGACACTTATTATACATTACTGAAACACAGTAATATTCGATAATTTTTATGTTAAACAATAAATATATTAAAATAATAAATATTTTATTTCCATCAAATTCTCTGTCCTTTTCCGAATAAACAGATCGCATCGATAGTATCAGATTGAATTTCTACCTATAAATTGGACTAAGAACGTATTCGTGCAGTTAAACGCATTTCCGACACAGAAACGTGACTTGCAATATTAATGAAGGTATTAATTCTGTTTGAGTTATACGTTCATTATTTGCTGTCCTGTCTTGATAGGATTGCGTTATCTCAAACTAAGGAGAATTTATGATTGATAAGTAAAAAGAATAGGAAGACGTATAAAATTGGATAATATTTATTTATCAGAAAAAGTTCCTCTTCCTTTTTTTTTTAAAAAAATTTTATATATGTATTTTATAAAAATTTATTATGAAATATATTCAATCTCTCTTTTATATTACTTTAGGTATTGCACATTACCGAAAGATATTACCGAAAAAAACGTGTAACATACAATCTAGTTATTATAATTAATAATATTTATCATCTTTTTTATTCTTTTTTTTGCATATTTTAACATTTTATCTATTCGCCGTTGAGAGCTATTCTTTTCTTCATAAATTCAAATACAGCAGCAAGTAGAACTCAATAAATTCGGTTGACAAGCGGATTTCCATGAATGCAGCTAAATGCATTTGCATTTAGTCTTCGAGAATATTCTCTGAGACTTCAGCACCGATATAATTATAGAGCATTTTCCTTGCATGATATTTTTAAAGGTCTCTTAAGTCTCTTAGCTAAGGATATAAAATGGTCTGTTCCGACCGTCTTCGTAGTTATTTCCTCGTCTTTCTGTTCTTTTTACGTCTATAAGTCGGATACAAATGAAGATTAGCAGCGTTTCCAGATGTGCATTTAGATGAAACATAATTGCTCAAGAAACTTGTGCGCTACTTTGCACACACAAATTTTATTAAAAGTGCTGCTTATATTTTTTATTTCTATATTACATTTGCTGCCAAATGATTAGGAATATATACACAAGAAAAATTCTATTTTCTCGCATACGCGCGAACTATCTAAGAATTGTGAATGCATGATAAATGGTTGAAAAATAAAAATGTATACCTGATGGCGAACGCAGATATATCTCTAGTGCGCCGCGACAAGAGTACTCGAGATTCACCTCGATCTCCACATGCTCCAAAAAGGTAATTTCACTCCCCGATGATCGACAAACGTTACTGGCATCGAATAGCAGATGTTTCTCATTTCCATAAGCCATTTTGACATTATCGATACTGCAATAAATGAATTTGAAAATAAACTTTCTCCAAAATATTGTCATATATTTTCAAAATCGATAAGTCACATGATGCAGATCACTTTGCTTTGATATATTACAATATATAAGTAAACTTTGCGAAATTGACTTGTCTATATGAAATAATTTCTATCTTTATCTTTGAAAATAAATAATATTACAAATTATTTGTTCAACGTTTATATTATAGACTATTATTAATATCCATTTTATACGCAATTCATTTTTTCAACACAAATGTAATTGTAAGCGATTAAATTCTGCGCGCGCGTGAAGTTATAAATGAGAATAATTATGATAATACCGTAGTCCATGTAAGAAACGGAAGTTAATGAAGCTGCCTTTATGAGAATTCATAGTCGAATTATGAAAATAATCGCAGACGCGACTCGGTGCGAGTTAAAACACGCAGGGATATAAAACCGTGCGAATCTTCAAAACATGCGGGCATGCATGTACTTCAATTACTGCAACTGAGAGACCGTGTAATGAGATTAGCGTGCATGCACGGTTACATGCACGTAGGAGCCATTTTATATTATATAATAATTGTAATATATAACATAAGATATAAATAATTCTACTCAATATATTTATCTTGTAAAAAATTAAAATAGGCTTGAAATAAAATTTTGAATTTAATGAATTCACTGACTAGAAATAGCAAGAAAAATAAGATTCTAGATATTTTATTACAGGATAATTATTCTATTATAATTTAGAGAAATTACAGTAAAGTATGTAAATAAGATAAATTCCACAACTCTCAATATTATTGTATTTTGGATCCATCTGGATATTTTTATTTATCTTTTTTTTTTACGTTTCAATACATTTTGGATTTTTTTTTATATTCTGATACAAGTAATATTGTCTGTCAATAATAACGTCAATCAACAAACGTGCACAAAATTAAATAACGCGATGCGTTGACTAAAGTGACAATTGCAATCTACTCATTTATGTTTACGTCTGAGCATTTATTTGATATGATGTTAAAGTGTTTTTCTTTTTTCTCCGACACTTATTATACATTACTGAAACACAGTAATATTCGATAATTTTTATGTTAAACAATAAATATATTAAAATAATAAATATTTTATTTCCATCAAATTCTCTGTCCTTTTCCGAATAAACAGATCGCATCGATAGTATCAGATTGAATTTCTACCTATAAATTGGACTAAGAACGTATTCGTGCAGTTAAACGCATTTCCGACACAGAAACGTGACTTGCAATATTAATGAAGGTATTAATTCTGTTTGAGTTATACGTTCATTATTTGCTGTCCTGTCTTGATAGGATTGCGTTATCTCAAACTAAGGAGAATTTATGATTGATAAGTAAAAAGAATAGGAAGACGTATAAAATTGGATAATATTTATTTATCAGAAAAAGTTCCTCTTCCTTTTTTTTTTAAAAAAATTTTATATATGTATTTTATAAAAATTTATTATGAAATATATTCAATCTCTCTTTTATATTACTTTAGGTATTGCACATTACCGAAAGATATTACCGAAAAAAACGTGTAACATACAATCTAGTTATTATAATTAATAATATTTATCATCTTTTTTATTCTTTTTTTTGCATATTTTAACATTTTATCTATTCGCCGTTGAGAGCTATTCTTTTCTTCATAAATTCAAATACAGCAGCAAGTAGAACTCAATAAATTCGGTTGACAAGCGGATTTCCATGAATGCAGCTAAATGCATTTGCATTTAGTCTTCGAGAATATTCTCTGAGACTTCAGCACCGATATAATTATAGAGCATTTTCCTTGCATGATATTTTTAAAGGTCTCTTAAGTCTCTTAGCTAAGGATATAAAATGGTCTGTTCCGACCGTCTTCGTAGTTATTTCCTCGTCTTTCTGTTCTTTTTACGTCTATAAGTCGGATACAAATGAAGATTAGCAGCGTTTCCAGATGTGCATTTAGATGAAACATAATTGCTCAAGAAACTTGTGCGCTACTTTGCACACACAAATTTTATTAAAAGTGCTGCTTATATTTTTTATTTCTATATTACATTTGCTGCCAAATGATTAGGAATATATACACAAGAAAAATTCTATTTTCTCGCATACGCGCGAACTATCTAAGAATTGTGAATGCATGATAAATGGTTGAAAAATAAAAATGTATACCTGATGGCGAACGCAGATATATCTCTAGTGCGCCGCGACAAGAGTACTCGAGATTCACCTCGATCTCCACATGCTCCAAAAAGGTAATTTCACTCCCCGATGATCGACAAACGTTACTGGCATCGAATAGCAGATGTTTCTCATTTCCATAAGCCATTTTGACATTATCGATACTGCAATAAATGAATTTGAAAATAAACTTTCTCCAAAATATTGTCATATATTTTCAAAATCGATAAGTCACATGATGCAGATCACTTTGCTTTGATATATTACAATATATAAGTAAACTTTGCGAAATTGACTTGTCTATATGAAATAATTTCTATCTTTATCTTTGAAAATAAATAATATTACAAATTATTTGTTCAACGTTTATATTATAGACTATTATTAATATCCATTTTATACGCAATTCATTTTTTCAACACAAATGTAATTGTAAGCGATTAAATTCTGCGCGCGCGTGAAGTTATAAATGAGAATAATTATGATAATACCGTAGTCCATGTAAGAAACGGAAGTTAATGAAGCTGCCTTTATGAGTATTCATAGTCGAATTATGAAAATAATTGCAGACGCGACTCGGTGCGAGTTAAAACACTCAGGGATATAAAACCGTGCGAATCTTCAAAACATGCGGGCATGCATGTACTTCAATTACTGCAACTGAGAGACCGTGTAATGAGATTAGCGTGCATGCACGGTTACATGCACGTAGGAGCCATTTTATATGAAATAATCATTTGCATCTTTGATGATAACAATAAGTACCAAGAATTCTGTTCTGTTTTCCAGAACATCGAATAAACTGCATTTTCAAGAACGTACTTCGGAAAAAGTCCTCAACCGTTAGATGCACCGCTTTCTCACCTTGTCCGCACTATCGTAACGAATGAGAACTTTTACGACCTTGTTGAATTTAACGATGCATTTCTTATCTTGCGCTTCTTCAAGTATCCGGAAATGCTTCTTTGAAAAAGGAGGTCATAGTGCTCGATTGACATGACGTCCGGAGAATACAGAATCGGGTTAAATAAAGAGGGCGTGAGTTTTTTAATCCTTATAGAGAATACGTGAAATAAAATATTTAGTATAAATATGTGGCACTAATATTTTATTTAAATAAAACCTAAAAAAATAAAATAAAAATTTTGCAAATATATGCGGCTTTGAGCAATTAAAATCTAAAAAAAAAGTTATAGATTAGGTATTTAATTATTCTAATACATAATTTGAGCCTAAACTGAGTTGAATTGCGCGAATATATTTTTATTTTGCTTCTATAACAAAAAGCGAAAACATTTAGATAATTTTAATCGTATGATTTACTTTGATACAATGTTTGCGTATCGCGTAATTAAGCTCCAACGTTCTAAATCCGTTAATTTACTTACTCGTAGGTGTTAGCCACTTCGCAAATAGTCTTCTCCGGTACTGTCACCCAGTTGTAACTCGCCATTACTAGTGCTTCCCCGTTCATAAGCCCAAATCCGAAAGCCGGGTTAAACAAGAATCCAGCCGCGTTCTTAAACCATCCCGGATTTTGGCTGAAAATTTATGTAATTACTAAAAATTCATTTCACTCATAAGTGTATGAAAGTAGTAAGAAAAAATGACAGGTATCAAGAAGAAAAGAAAATTATTCTTTTTACTCTGACACTCTGTTAATTTCTACTTTTTGTCAAAATTTTTGTTATAATGAAAGTAACATGATTTGCATTATTATTAGAATTCTGTAAAATAACAGTCGCGTTAACTGGATTTCCGAAGAGAATATTATTACATTAAAGATTAAAACTGGTATCTCTCTGTGAAATGAAAATCGATTCTCTCTAAATCTTAAATGTCAAATGTAATTTATTTGCATGAAATATGATCACAATTAATATTCTCATCAAAGCGAACATGATACGTTCTTGTGAAAGCGATTATAATCGCTTCAATAATTTGAGACGATAATAGAAGGCAATTAGCACGAAATATAAATTATGAGGTAGAACAATAACGAATAACGAGAAACGTGCAGGGCCATCCACGTGCACGTATTTTAGTACAGTTATGATCAAATAGCAATTATTTCCGCTATATGATGATCTCTTTTCTCTCTTTGATAACTATTCAATAAAAATTATATAATTATCACTCAATCGCTTTGTTAGACAAATTTTATTATTAATTACGGTCGATTACATTCAGAATTATTTTTAACGGAAGATTGAGAAAAATCATTTCTTGCCCGTTTCATTCGAATTATAATTTTACAGTGTGAAAGCGACGTCACAATCTTTTCTGTTAAAGTGCGAATAAGAATTTAAGCTGACACAATTGCAGATGCACGTGACCTGAATTGCTATTTGCGAAATGCTCACCCAAGAGGACTATACTCTGATGACCAAGCTATCAAATGCTGAACGTCCCTCCACGTTAAGTTTTTGCTGTAAAAATAAAAGAAGTTATGTTAGTACGAACTTTGATTAGAATATCGATAATTTTCTGCTAAAATAACATCTTTATTTCGAGTCGTGAATTAATCGTGGATAAATTGAAACTCAATATATTGCGACCTCTAAAGAGCAGATATGTATCGAATATTTTACGCGGTCCCACATCTTAAAACGTAATGAAAGCCAAGAAGAATAATACGGGGAAAAGAATATTTTGATTTCGAGCACGTAGATTCTTAGAAAAATTTTTAATTTCAAAAATAGAAGTCTAAAAAGAATTTTTTTTTTCTTAAATATTAAAATTATAATTTGAGATAAGCTTTTTTATTTTGTGATATTATAGATATTAATAGAGAGAATATTGTGTGTGTTGCGCGAAAAGAAAAAGTTTCAAATAACACAATGATAATAAAATAAAGTATCCCTTTTTATCGATTGCAAACGAAAAAATGAACATAAATAATCAAGTTAGTGTTTTCTCTCGTTTCTAAACAAAAAATTTAATAGAAAAAGATTATTGCTATTGATTGTATTCGTACTTTACTTGCAGCGCGAGAGCTAATATCCCGGCGGCTAATGGGGCAGAAGCTGAAGTACCCGTATGGTTGGTCGTACAGGTATTCTTTAGATCTGTCGTTACCTGCAAAGCATAAATAAAAGCTACTAAATTATTCGATTTTCGCCGTAAGACGGATCTCGTTCCTCCGCAGATACTCATCACAGAGGGGAAGAACTGATAATGATTGTGAAATATCTTATTAAATTACAGATTAGATTCGAATGACATTATTCTGAGCAAAATCTCATAACATTTTAATCGTGTATTACATTTACGATCCAGACACTAAACTATTTTTTATTTTTCTAGATAAATTTGACAGAGAGAGAGAGAGAGAGAGAGAGAGAGAGAGAGAGAGAAATACGTGTGCAATTATGATATTTATATAACGCATATTTTGTAAATATATTACAAGTTCAAATTAATAATAAAGTTTTGCACATATTTGTCAATATTTTTTTTCAATCTCTATTAAATTTGATTAATATAATACGATTTATTATTATTAATACAATAATCGATTTGAGAAAATATATACAACGCTTACTATCTTTTGATCGTAATACGCGCCGCTGCTATATGTCGTAGCGAGAACAGCAGGACATTTCTCTCCGTACCAAGGAAGTTTTCCAGTTTGGCTAACTGATCCTACGGCTACGGTGTATATACTCCCAACATATCCATCATATCCGCAGTCATCCGAATTGCCACCATTCCCAGAGGCCCATACGTAAATGTTACCTTTGCCGTTACGACCCTGTCAAATATTCGAGTATCAATATTGCCATAATATCAAGCAAAAAATAACTTATTCACCAGACAATGAAATATTCACGTTACATATCAGATTACACAGAAGTGCAAATTTGCAAATCATAAAAAATGCGCTGTTGGAAGATAAAAGATAGAAAAGAAAGGTAATGAAGAGAAATGTGTGAATTATATATATATTTTAAAAATTCCTACATTTCAGAAAATGCAGATTATAATTTTGCGAAAAAATGCAATGTTGTGTGTGTGGCTTTATGTACAGAAATTATTCCTAATAATATGCAAGAAAATCGTATCTTTCTTTTTCACGCCGATTCTTCTCGTTTATATTTAATCCTCGGAAGAAATGAGAAAAAAATTTTTTATAAGAGTTTCTTGCGCTAACATCTTTCTGAAGCCGGAATTAGCTTTTGCAACGATAATATTACAAGTCGACACACTTCTGTAATCGTAAAAAAATAAACTTGCTAAGGTAATAAAGTCTATAATAAAAATCAGAGCACACAAAGAAAGAAAGATTATAACATGGTCGAGTTTCAGTTCAGCTATTGCATCTACGTTAAATCAATTTCCTTCAAATAAATCTCCTTAAATCAATTTTTTCTTCATACGATTTGTTAATTCTTTTTAATTTCGATCCAACTTTCAAACGCAAATTTCACAACCGTGAATTTATTAACAAATGAGAAGAAGTTTATGATTATCACGAGATATTTGCTTTGTTAAGCGTATCTAGTGTTTGTGGATCATATGTAATTTGTAGATAGTTATCGCGAAATATAAAAAAAAATTTCATAAGTGAATTTTTAGTAAGTAAAAAGGTAAAAGAGAAAAAAAAGTTTTAGGATTGTCTGTTGTCTGAAAAAGCGATCAATAAGTAATCGCCGTGGGAAACGTAGTTAAAGTTTAATTAGACTTAAATAAGCTTAGTCCAGGTGTTGTAAAAGCTTGTTTAAGTATTAAATGACTAAAAACCCTGTGTTTCATTTTAAAGTCAATCCGCTTATTCTAATCCGATTTCAAAGTCGCACAAAGTTCACATTTCTTTCTTTTTTTTTTTGCGAAATTCCAGAAACAGAAAACATCAAAAATTAAGAAAAAAATATAATATTGATCCGCGGGCGCAACAATATTTATTATGAATTTTACTGTGTATTTATATCTGCAAGTTGCTGATTACAAAGCGCTGATTATATGCTAGCTATGTCTTTAAAAGAAAATAATAATAAATAATAATAATTTATTATCTGTCCCAGCTCCCTGAGCTTCAAGTTTATAAATTATTTTTGCAGCTGTAAACTCTTTTATTTAAATGAAAAATTTTTTTGGAACATTAGAAGTAAACTTGATAGTGAACTGACTTCTGTTACGCCGCGTTTGAGCGCCTCGCCGGCGAGTCTGCGGGGTCCGTCCAAGGTCTCTCCATCGTCAGACGGTCCCCAGGAAGCCGAATAGATGTCAATGAGTTCTTGTTTATAGCTTAGGGCCTCGCCCTCCACGCGATCGTTCATTAGGCCGTCAAGGAGCTTAATGCCGCCGATAGACGCCTCGAAGGCAATACCGACACCGCATTTTCGGTTATTGGCTTCCATCGCTATCTCGCCGGCGCACTTGGTGCCGTGAGCGTTTTTCCCTGAGGAGCAGTTGAATTTCTAATACGATTGTGAAACAATAATATTCAATCGGGTCGGTGAAGTTCGCCAAGGTCTGCTGTGTACGCGAGCAGAAGAATTAAACATGTTCTACAGGGAGCATCTGTCAGGAGGTCTCAAATCTAACTTCGTGACATTACGCATTTATTTGATTTTGAAATGTAAAATTCAGCGCGCATAAATAATTTTGTTCGAATAGTAACATCGACTGATAAAAGTACGATTGGACACAAATATGCAGTGAGAAACCAAAACAGTAGTCAAACGTTTACTTTTACATATAGTTAAAAATTATAGTATGATATTAGAAACGTAAGATTAGAAAAATAAAATTGGTGCACAATTAATTTTTTTATATATTAAAATTATTATCATGATATGAAAGTTTCAATGAGAGAGCAAAGTTTTCTACAGGCAAGTTTTAAACAAATTGTGTGACCCACTGGTAGTTTATGGTTTAAATGCATTACTGAATGCGCTGAACGCGCGGTTTACTCCTCGATATCCCGCAATTTACTCGAGAGTTTGACACGTTTACATCACGTAGTTCCTACCATAGTTTGACCGATATATTGTAACGTAAATGCCATGTGCGACCACACAGGAATGTAATTATAATGACGTGTGTCGTCACGTATCATGAATTATTATGAGCATATTAGATTATCGTGACTTAAAAATTATTTGTGAATATTTATGATTTATTTTATTAATTGGATGCATAAAATAAATATACAATAATTATGCAAAGATATTCGTTCTCTAAATTTTATTGTATTATATAATATTAATATCATACCATTTTATAATGCTATTAATTATTATACATGTATTGTTATAAAAGAAGAAAAATTTAACTTATAGATTAGATAGGAATTACCTTACCATTATATCTTGGAAGGGGGTCAATGTCGTTTTCGTTCACGTTGTAACTAATTTCCGCATCCTAAATTTAAATATTATAATAATAAATACAGCTGTGTGTGTGTGTGTGTGTGTGTGTGATAAAAACATATATATAAAAATATATAATATGTTTTTTTTTTATAGATTAGATAGGAATTACCTTACCATTATATCTTGGAAGGGGGTCAATGTCGTTTTCGTTCACGTTGTAACTAATTTCCGCATCCTAAATTTAAATATTATAATAATAAATACAGCTGTGTGTGTGTGTGTGTGTGTGTGTGTGAGATAAAAACATATATATAAGAATATATAATATGTTTTCTTTTTTTATTATTTGTCAAAAGCAATTTTCTATTCTCTTTAATGTGTAAATTTTAATGAAATTGTAATATTTTCTTTCTTATAAACTTCTTCAAGAAATTTATTCTTATAAATCAAATTATTTATATATTTTTTGATGCAATATATATAGAATTTAAATGCAATATATGTATATTATAGAGTGTAATATATGTGTGTGTGTAGTGGAGAGTATAATAATGAATGTACACACACATAAAAAACATAAATATAAAAATAGAATAATGCTCTTGAAAATCTAAAACAAATCTTTGAGCTACATGGCTTGTCATCTATGAGATGAAGAGAGAAAGCTCGAAGCAAATATTACGTACGTAATTGCTCCGCAGATCATCATGATTGTATTCTAAACCATCGTCGAGAATAGCAATCCTTACTCCACGACCGGTTATCCCTCGTCGATAGAGAGGCAGGACGTTTAAGTCGAGCTTCGGCAAAGCTTTTTCGGTCTTCGTATCTTGCTATGGCAATTGATAAAGAAAATTTCAAGAATCTCAGTGTAATGATAACAATAACAACAATAAATCGAAGCAATTAATTTTCTTATAACACAAAATAATTTTTCCGAGCTTGATATATTCAAACCTATTGAAATAAATCAAATTCATCATTTTTGAAACGTTTATGTATATTTTGCACAATGTATAATATTTTATGTAAATTATAAATTTTATTTGATAAAATTACATTTCTTAAATATAATTGGAATTTTCATATTTTTGCAATTTACTTTTATCTTAAAACAATTTTGTAACAAATATCTTATTTTGCATAATCTGAAAACAGAACATTATTTCGTAAACGATAACTGAGAAAATGTGTAAAGCATTATTACCAGATACCATTCTTGATCCCAAAGCTCGTCATTAAATATTCTATGGGCAGCATCGTAATTTTCCTCTTCGCTATTAACGGCATTTGATGCAGCTTCGTATGCGTTTAATTGCAGACGCTTTTCTCTTGTTAAAGGTTTTTCAGACTCCAAGTCGGCTAACGAGATGTAATCACGTTTAAGTCGTTTCACAGTTTTCTGTTGATCCGCCCAAACGATCTTTGGCAAAATGTGAATTGTATTAAGAAAGTTGCATTCTTTTCGTATATCATTTTGTAATATATCATATGTTACTACAATTGTTGTACGAAAATATCTATTAATATCATTTTTATGTACAGAAATATATATTAATAGCAATTTTATGTATGCGCAAGTAATATTTAAAAAAAAGAGTTAGTTATAAGAATTAATAATTCCGAAGTTCTGCAGTTAGAACGTTATTTGAGATCATAAAATAACGTTCGTGTAAGGTATAAAGGAGTTACCTTGGAATTTGCATTAAGGTCCTTCGTTAAGCGAAGATTTCCTCTTTTCTTCTGGCTCGGCTTATCATCCGTAAGCCATATATATGTGTCATTGAATCCGAGAACCTGAATGAAAAGATCCATTACATGTAAATTTATCAAGAGAACTAGTGATATGCGCTGCATATTTAATGAACTTGAGACCGAATTAAGATTTTATTTAAATTTTTGCTTAAATAAGCATTAAAGCGCCAGTCTTCCATCTGCTCTATTATCATTTTGCAATTGATCCTTTTCTCTCAATATTCATCAGTGTCGATTAATATTGAAATGTATTTAGTTTATAAAATTATAAATATTGTGTTTTTGTGTCTTGTCTCAAATGTCTTGTTTTTATATCAATATTTTACCAACGTTCTCTCATAAATTTTGTCTCGACATATGTTCTCTTCTTTATTAATTATATAAGCTGAGAAAAAGGTTTATTTAGCGCGATATTACAGATTAGTTATCATAATGTTATGTATTCTAATCTCTTTATCTCCCTCTTAGTTAATTAAAATGGATATAAACATTACATAATAAATAATAATTAGATAAAATCTAATTTATTATCAAATTATTATTTGAATAAAAAACTATTTATTTTAAATAGAAAAACTATAATAATAAATTAATATAAATTCTAAAATAATATATAATTGTTACATTCACAATACTTGAATTAAATCAATATATTCAAAATGTTTAGAATATTGCATCTGAAGAATATGTATTTATTTCATGCACATTAAAGGGTTAACTACCCTTCATTGACTTAGAGTGAGAGTAAAACTAGACGTCCCGACGTTTGTGCCCTTCAAATGAGTAAAAGGGACGCTACGATCAGGATAGCATACGAAAGCAGTTGGTGAATCGAGCGATTCTTTTGGGGGGGAACTATCGAAAGTCTAAATGGGGTATATCGTGCATGTGTAACGTTATTATTATCCATGGTGTCACGTGGCCAGTTTTTGTATAGCATCCGTATGTGATGTGCCGCATCGCATGGCGTAACCAATATGACAGAGACAGCGAGCGAGGGGGAATGTAAGAGAAGGGGACCACCTGGTAGAAAACTGGGCGTCATTCGTGCAAGGGGATAGACTATGATATTTCCGTAACACCAGGCACATACCGTCTATTTCGAGATACTTCCTGACTGTCTCTCCTGATAATTGTTGGTGCGTTATCGTAGTTTTATATAATTTATGTATATAAATATAATTGTGCATAATTTATTATTTGTAATTTTTTATTTTTAATAATTTTTGCGTAACGTTGTGCAATTATTTCTATAATATTATTTATTATAATGCAATTTTTAATATTGAGCTTGTGTTTGTAATTGACATTTTGTTAAATATTCCAATATATTTATTATTATTGGCATTTTTGTTGTAACAAGTCGAGAGATCAGCTGATCGTTACATTATTCCCGAACAGAACATTTTGGATAGTTTGAGGCATATATATATATTTTAATTGCAAAAATAAAATAATAGTTTCTTTATTTTACTTTTCGCCAAATAAATGCAGCATCAAACGCGATCGATTTCCACGGCAGAATTCAAGGAAATATTTAGGTCATTGGGATTATAAAACAATAATTGTTTTGTCTGCTATCCTCTTAACCCCATACAACCGTGAGCAAAAATCCTTTAATCCACTATCCATCATATCTGTTGTGCATCCGGTTAGAAGGAATAAATTTGATCGTCGAAATGCTTCACTGAACTCGCTGATAAACTAGTGAATATCCGACAGGATACACTTTTCAATACAGCGGCGCATAAATGTTGCACGTTTGCGTATCCGTGATCACGTATGCCATGCACGCCGCGTTAAGCATTTAGGATTTTACATCACGATCCATGAATCGATAGGAAACGTTTTTACTTTTTGCAAATGTTTCTATTTTTTTACAAACAAACAGGAATTTTTGATATTAAATACGGGCAAATAAAATCATTTGTTAGAATAAAGATCTGCTAATTCTTTTGTTACGTAATTTAATTAAGAAAGAAAAAAACAAGCTATATTGCAATATATATATATATAT